AGCATAGGTCATTTTTGATGGAGTAAATTCTGAGGGCAAAAGTATTGACTTTATATTGACAATAAAATGGTGACTCTACCTTATTTCTTCTTCATGTGTCTCTATTTACCCTTAGTACACATTTCTTAGTTTTTGACAACTATGTACATGTAGTTTAAAAATAAATAAAAATAATAAATATAAGTGAATGGGAACAGGTGATATATAATAACACTGAAGAGTCACATACACTATGAGAAATTTTATATAGAGAGAAAAACTTCCCCATGAGATGACACAAAAATGTTGATAATAGCTTTATTTGTAATAGCAGACAATTGGAAGGCACCTAAATGAATATCAGTTAGAGATCTGATTAGTACCCTGTGGTCCACTCACGCAAAGGAACATATTACAGTACACAATATATCTAAATAGATAAAACTCAAATGGCATTAAATGAAAGTGAAGAAAGTTTTGCATCAGTTGGAGTGATCATGCAGGCAGTTGTGAGACCCTGTTAACAGTTTAAACTTTACAATAAGTGCTTGGAGGGCTTGGGCAGAAGTTATTTCCTGTGATGGTTTAACCTGGGGTGTGCCATTAACAGACTTACATTTTTGTACCATTGCATTGGGAATAAATTGGAGGGGAATAAGTCTAGAGGCCAAGAGAGAAAATAGGAAATTGTCATAGTACGGTGGTTGAGCCATGACAATGGAAAGTAAAAACAAATTCAAGAAATACTGAGGAAGGTAAACTCACAGACTGTTTATTGATGCAAACAATAAGAAAAAGGACTGACTCATGGGTGATGCTTGAACTTCTGGTTTGACCAACTGAGTCCTCTTCCTAATCGCAATTTCAAACACTCCCGTCAAGCAACACCTCTATTCCTCCGGCTGACTTACTCTTGACCCTTCGAGGCCTCCCAGTTGAGTTCACCACTTTTTCTTACTTGCCTTATTCCCTTGCAAATGTTGGTTCTTCCTTAACCAACACTTGCAATAAATAGCAATATCACAACTTTGGTCAAGTTCAACCCTTTACCAACCCCACACCTCTGCTAATGCAGCATAACAGAACTCGAGAAAACTCAATTTCATTCCAAAGCCACAATTGCATACCTCAAGTAAATTCCTTTTTTTTTTTTCCTCAGTATGGTTAGTGGTTTAACAGAAGTTCTAAATGCAGACTCTTACTGTTGCCAGACAATTATATTATACTTCCTTAGTCTTTCCGTTTCTGCTCTCAAGGGCAACTGCTTCACGTCTTCTGGTTCATCAGATCAGCAATACCTGCTTACTCACTCTCACTCTCTGCTGATAAACTTTATGCCCCAGTTTACCGAGAAAACAGGCAGGCAATCAGAAAACACTTCGGGAGCACTGGTGATATTCATGAAAGCCTGCTGGGCAGTTTCACATATTCCATATTATTTAATATGCAGGGAGCAAATGATAGCACGAGAGAATGAGGAAAAGCAGGATGGAACATTCCAGCTAAAACGATAAATGCTAAGATAATCAGTGAATCGAATAACCTTAATCAAAGAATTTAAATCGCAACATTCACTGAAATATTCCTTCAGAGGACTTTAGTAGCTTGCTTATCTCCTTGCTTTAATAAACTTGGAGTGTTAATAAGATTGCAATGCTTCTTCCCCTTTCACAGTGAAAAGAAAGCCTCTGGAGAAGAACAAGCTCGGGCCGGGGCTCCGTCTGGGCTCACGCACCTCGGTCCCTCTGTTGCTCTGGACCGTTCCTCATTGGGCTGAATGCTTTTTCTCCTCACCTACCCACGTCCTTCTTCCTTTTCTGCATTTTCATTTTACTGCTGCCTCATTCCCTTCCCTCCAGTTTACAAACATGTCATCCTTTCTCTCCTATTAACATCCATTCCCCTGCTTCTCTGTAGACTCCTCGGAAGATTTGATTCGGCTCGATTTGACTCACTACCTCTATCTCGGATCCGCTCTTGTCTCCTGTGTTCACCCCAGTCACGGCCTCAGCCCGCACTCCGCGGACAGGGCTCTTCGCAGGCCTGCGAGGGAGCCCCGCGTTACCGAATCCCCGGCCAGTTCTCGGTCCCAGGCCCACTGCACGCCCGGCAGCGGTCTGGACAGCTGGTCACGCCTTCCTCCCGGAACACCGCCCGCTCGCGCCTTGCAGGATAACCCTGGGTCCTCCTCCGACTCACTGGACACTTCTCAGGCCTTCCTGGTGCCTCCTCACCTGCCTGACCTACATACCGCCGTGGCTGCTGGGACCCCGGGCCCCGGACACCTGCGCTGCCCGCCTCTGTGTCTGCGACGCGGTTTCCAAGCTCCTCCTTGACCCCCTGCATTTCAAATCGCGGCCCGCCCGTTTCCTAGCACCGGCCTGTCACACTTATCTTCACGACGTTTCTGAATGTTTCTCTCACACGTTTTATTTTTTCACTTCTCTGTTTTCTCTGTTATCCACCAAAATGCAGGCTCAATGCCATGGGGATGTTTTGTGCATTTTGTTCCTGTACCCAGAACAATGACTGGCACAATATATATTTGCTGAATGAGTGAATGAGAAGGAAAAATATGAACCTAGAAAAGATATAAAAGAGATTACATTTGTCTTTTACCACACATCAAGACAAGGTGGAGAATGATGTGATAATCGGATTAAGAAGCATTTACTGAGCTATCTTCTCATAGCTCTTAATTTAAAATCACAGTAAGTATAAAGTCATACATGAGCATATATGAAATATTTCTCTTGCAAGAAGTGTGAGCACCGTGACTAAGAGGCACGCAATGTGCACAGTGGGGTGAATCCCAGTGTTTATTTTCACCTAAACCTCCATCTCTGTAAAGGCCAGTCTGCAGGATGAAAAGACGGGTTGGTGAGGTGAAGAACCTACAGAGGATAAAATGAACATTTCTGTTATTTTTTACTAAGGAGGTGACTCTGTTATTTCCATGAGATGGCAGAATGGTTGGAATATATTTGATTCTTCCAACTTAAAGTTGGCACAAGTAAATAAACTCGGTGAACAACTTTATAAATTAAGTAAAAGGTGATGCTTTTTAAAGACATAGTGACATTTCCTCCTTGATATCTGACCCTCATTATTCCCTATAACCGTACTAACAGTTCTAAAATTTTTAGAGAAGAGTGTGACAAAACTTACCTTTTGTGAGGAAAAGGGGAAATTTTGAAGCTAATTAGCTGGAAATGCCAAAGGAGGCTTTCAAAATTGATAGAAATTTATATGCTTTCTGTTGGTTTCCTGCCCCCAATCCAAGATATTATTGATTCTAAAGTGATATTTAAAGAATGTAGAGATGAGATAAAAGTATTGCAATCATTGCTCATTAATGATTGATGCTAAAAGGAATTTTACTGATTGAGAAATGTATAGTATCTTTTCTATGCCAGTAGGACATGTAAGCTGTTTTTCAGTGGAAGAGATGCTAAGCCATGAGGTACCAAATTTTGGATATTGGCTGCATTAATTATGCCCTTAATAAACATCACTGTGACTCAGAATCAACTCTTACTGAGTTTATAAAGTAGGAAGAATCAACCGTATTCTAATTTTTCTATGTTCTTTAGAAAATAACAGCATATTTTCTATAATCAAAATTAAACCAGAAACCCATTCTTTCAAGACCTGACTAATCTAAAATAAAATCCATTCTATCTGAACAAAGTGTAAGAATTAGTGCTCAAAATAGGAAAACAGTGTATCTGAAAATTTATTAAGGATTTGATATCATTCTGGGGGCCCTAGGTTGGCTTGAATTTTGTTGAGGTTTTTGAGGGAGTTTATGCGACAAATTGCTAAGCCCATCTTTCATCCAGTTCCTCATGCTGCTGGCAGTACTCCCAAATTTTGGATTCCTCATTCGCTTGCAGAAATTTTAATGTAACACACGTTTCCCCAGGTTAGAAGATGGATTCATCCAACGGATAATATTTCAGGCCTGAACACAAGCCATTCACATTAATTTCTGTTATGACTGGGGAGGGGCTGCAGTCGCTAACATGAACGTGAAGAAGCCAACGTCACCCGATCATAAAGATTCCAACAGCAGCTCCCCAGAGCTCATCTCTCACTTCTCTGCCTCCGTCCAAGACCATCCTGATAACATATGGAAGACCCTTTAGCCTTCTTTCATCATTAATGAAGTATTCATTATTGACTATAAGCAATAAATTCTTCCTGTTCTATAAAGCAAATACCTCATGGCCTTTCTTTACATCCTTTCTTTTTCATTCTCTGTTGCCTCAGAAGGTCAAACACAAATATCATTAAACTCAGTTACATAAATGATTAAAAATCTGCACGACCAATGTCAGTGTTGGAGATCCTGAGTGCTAGATAACTGAACAATTTATTTTGCCTTGCATTCAGGCACTTGATACTTATTATAAAAATACGTTTGAATTTTCTAGAGAGAATAAGTACTTCCCTACTTCTAAGTGTTCTCTTTTCATATATATTGAGGACCCACTAAATCAAATCATTGTGATGGAAGCTGGCATAGATGCAAAAATGCCTCGTGTCCACATTCACGGCTGGTGTTTTGCAAGCAGAGCTCGCCGGTAGGTCCAGGACGGGAGCCCTCCCAGTGAAGAAAGCTCGCCTTAGGGGTACTCGAGAGGAATGCCAGTGACTGTCAGCTTGGGAGTATCGCATTTCCTCAGCCCAGCTAGCCCATCAAATTCTAGGTCTCATTAGGTGTCTCTTTGGTACACAATGTCAGAGTATTCCTGTACTTGGCAGGTGTAACAACAGATACAGAAGAGAGTTCAGAAGAGAATCCCGCCCTGACTGGTGTGGCTCAGTGGGTTGGGTGTCAGCCTGCAAACTGGTTTGATTTCTGGTTGGGGCACATGCCTGGGTTGTGGACCAAGTCCCCCTGGTTGGGAGAGGCAACCGATGTCTCTCTCACACATTTCCCTCTCTTCCTCCCTCCCTTCTCCTCTCTCTAAAAATAAATAACTTTTTTTATAATCCCCAAATTTGATCACTTTTTACTATGTGTCCGCACCCCCCTTCCCTAGAACCTTCTTCACGGCCTCTCTGATGTCTTTGTTTCTCAGCGTGTATATGAGGGGGTTAACACTGGGAGTGACAATTGTGTAGAAGAGAGTGAGGAACTTGCCCCGGTCCTGGGAGTAAGTGTTTGCTGGCTGGAGGTACATGTATATGATTGTGCCGTAGAAGAGGGAGACGACGATTAGGTGGGAGCTGCAGGTGTTGAAGGCTTTCTTTCGCCCGGCGGCTGACTTGATCGCCAGCACGGCCCGCGCAATGTACGCGTACGAGGCGAGGATGAGGCTGAGGGGCGCCAGAATGATAAAGACCGCCAGAGCGAATGCCAGAGCCTCCAGGGCCATGGTGTCGACACAGGCCATGCCGATGAGCGCCGGCATCTCGCAGAGAAAGTGATCAACCCGTCGGTGCCCGCAGCGGGGCAGCAGCAACGTCTGGGGTGCCATTACGAGAGAGTTGCCAAAGCCGCTCAGCCAGGCCGCGGACGCCAGCTTCCCACAGCGGCGTGGGTGCATGATGACCGCGTAGTGCAGGGGCCTGCAGATGGCAGCGTAGCGGTCATAGGCCATGACCGCCAGGAGGACGCACTCCACGCCCCCCAGAGCCAGGACGAAGTAGAGCTGAGTGGCGCAACCCAGGTAGCTAATGGTCTTATCTGGGCCCCGCAGGTTGTGGAGCATTTGGGGGACGGAGCCTGTGGTGAAACACATGTCTAGGAATGAGAGGTTGGCCAAAAAGAAATACATAGGCGTGTGCAGGCGGGAGTCCAGAGCTGCCAGCAAGATGATGGTCATGTTGCCAAAGAGAGTCAGCAGGTAGAAAGTGAGGACCACCACGAAAAGGACCAGCTCCAGGCGCGGACGGTCAGAGAAGCCCACCAGGACGAAGCCTTCGGGAGAACTTGCGTTGTCCTTCTCCATCGCCTGCGACCGCGCGTTGCCTGTCGGGAGAAAGGGGAGCGTCCGCGGGAAGCCGCGGTGCGCGCCCCCCAGCGGGCGGCCGGTGAAGCGGCGCCGGAAGCTCCCCCACCCCGGAAACGCTGGGCGCCCCGCCCAGAATTTCCGTCCGAGTTAATGACGCCGCTGCGCGGGCTGAGGAACGCGCCGTCTTGGGGTTTGTGGGGCTGCGTAACCAGAGTTTAGGGACTTCATGAACGAGGCGCGAAAGTTAACCATTGGACAAGGTCTCCCCCATTTCTCGGTCAAAGCAGCCCCGGGAAGCGGGCAGCGTCGTTGCTCCTCCTGACAGAGGCGCTGCGGGCGGCGGGAGGAAGCGGGCGCGGGCCGTGGTTCCCCTCCGGCCTCAGCCCAGTCCTCTCGCCCGGCCCGGGCCGGGGCCGGGGCCGGGGCCGCGCCAAAGCGACGCGAATCTGCGCGTGGCTGCTTTCTTTAGACAGCTCCCGTCATCTGAGGCATCTTCCTCACCAAACTTACAATTAAACTAATGTTCCAGAAAACACAAATATTTGTCAGCCTTTCTCCAAACTACAGGAATTGAATTAAATTTTAATACTTTGAAAAGAATAGCTGTACACTCTGGCCGGTGTGGCTCGGTTGGTAGGGCGTTGTTCCCTAAAGCAAAAGGTCGCTGTTCGCTTTCGGGGCAGGACCCAGGCCCGGGTTACCGGTTCGGTCCAAGGGCCGGTCCAGGAGGCAACAGATGGGTATTTCTCTCCCTCTTTTTCTCCCTCCCTTCTCCTCTCTCTGGAATCAATAAAGGGGAAAAAAGCTGTATTGTGGCCTTTCGTGTCTTCAGATTCAAAGAGCAAGCCCCGCCTGTCCTCTGGTGCCCCAGGGGACTTGCCTTGTCACAGGGACCCACAGTTGTGTCTGTCACAGCCGCAGGGTTCTCTGCTGTGAACGCTAACACATGGAAATTACTTCAATGGCGCAGGACATCAGCTACTGAATAAAACAATAGCAGGATTTATGTTGTTCATGGGGTGGAGGAAGGAGAAAACCCACACCGAGTGGTTCCACCGTGAGAGTGTTACCGGACGGACCAGGCCCGCAGCAGGTGGCCTCGGGCTGGCCTGTAGTGTACGCGTCTAGACTTTGTGCAGGAAGGATTTTGCAACATGCGTGTAGGTGATTTTGAGGGTGCGTTTATTAAAGCCGGAGGTAGCAAATCAAGGAAAGGCTTAGCACTGAAGGAGCAACAGGGGAGCCCAGGCGGGAGGAATCAGGCGCGGGCCGTGGTTTCCCTCCGGCCTCAGCCCGGTCCTCTCGCCCGGCCGGGACCGGGGCGGGGCGGGGGCAGCGCCAAAGCTCACTGTCCGCTCACTGGAGAGTCAGAGAAAAGGGGGCCTCGGGGCAGGGTCCAGGGGGTTGGCCTGGAACGAGCTGCCTCTGCCTATTGCTCCCCTTGTTGCAAGTGTCCTGGGGGCCCTTAGGGTTTAGGAGATGCAGGCCTGGGAATGGCATGGGCGTGCTCCTTGTAGGCAGAGCAATATTTTATTTTTTTGTTTCTCAGATCAACCAAAGGACCCCACAAAGCGTGAAGTTACTTAACTAGGATTATTCTCATGAGTTTTTCACTGCAATTGAAAGTTTTTCTGGTGACTAAAGTATCTGTTCACTGCCCACCTTTCCCCTAATTTTATCACATCAAAATCCAACTGCTGTGTCTCTTTTCCAAGCCTTCCCTTTGTGAGCACCGTGTTCTTGTATTTCTGAACTTTAAATAACAAATGGCTAACTCCTTGGTCTGCCAAGAATAGTCTTAAACGATCTGTGGGTTTGTCTTGCCTTCTTTAAACCTAATAAGATGGTTTCTCAACATAGGAAAGGACAGATTTCTCACAGGAGTCAATTATTTAATTGCATGAAGCAATTGATCACCTACCACACTTAAGTAAGTTTTATATTGTTTGGAAAATACGACAAATGTGCATCTTCTTTGTGACGTCTGGGTCCTTGACCAGCTAATTTCAATTTCACAAGGTTTAAAACAATTGAACCAAAGAGTGCCCCAATATCAACTGTTATCCGCATCTTTTACAAAGAGCCAGAGTGGGGATTTACATCTCTGGTTGTTGGGAGGGATGAACTGTCAAATCGCAGGGCTAAGAGAAGCACTGGCGCCGCACAACCGCTCGCCTGCGCCAACGGCGCTCAAGACGAACGCGAAGCCGTGCGGAGCCCGGAGCCCTGCGCGCCGGAGTTCGCAGCCCCGCTGTGCACACTCAGCAGCGCAGTCACTGAGAGCCCATTACTCAATGTCGTCTCGGGCAATGCAGGACCACAATTAGTATTTCGTTCTTTGGGTTTTCCCATTCCGTAGATTCCACTAGGTTTTAATTTCATGCCTTTAGTAATAACCCCATTAATGAGTTCAAAATGTCTCCAGCTTTCTCATAGAGTGAGTGATACTTAACCACCCTCATCACAGCTTGATAAAGCCGACATTAAGGTGCATAATATGTCCAACTGCCCACAAGTCCTATATATATAGTCTATGGTGAAAAAAACCTAAACCAAACCAGAGGACTGGACGGGGTGGTCACGTTTCTTCCTACCCAGGGTCCTTAACTTACCAAATGTGGCAGCAACCTCAGACAAGCCATGTCCGCCGTTCCTTCTCCTTCTTGGGGCTTCACTCGGCAGTCCAACTGGGATGACCAGGGTGAAAACTAGGAGAAAAGAAAGATGGCGTTTAGGAAATCTGTGAGAAAAGAAAGAAGATAAAGAGGCCATGGGACCCAGCAGCTGAATCTGGATGGGTGAAGGGAGAATGTTGGTGGACAAACAGCAGTTACACCGCCTGAGGGCCCCGAGCAGCCACATCCCCCTCCGGCCCCAGGTAAGGAAGCAGGCGGTGCCTCGGATGCACACGCAGCACAGGGAACACAGCAGGGGTCCAAGGGTGCAAGTGTGAAAAGAACTTCTCATGGGTTTCAGAGTTGATATAGGATTGAACACTCCCTTTTCTGCCTCTCCCTGTGGAGTAAAACTTTCTTTTCAAAAATTCCCTGAACTAATTATCGCTAACAAGGGTCAGGAGAGCATGAGGTCTCAGAGGGAATACTACTCTCCCCAAAACTCTCTCTCTCTCTCTCTCTCTCTCTCTCTCTCTCTCCAGATGTGTGTGTGTGTGTGTGTGTGAGAGAGAGAGAGAGAGAGAGAGAAAGAGAGAGCACAACAGGCCCTCCTCACTGGGCCTCGTCAGCTCAGGCGCCAAGAGTGGCTGCTTCACTCTTCATTCAGAACAGAGCCCACAACCGATGAAAGATGGGTGAGGGTCGGCTGGTCTCCTTTATGACATGTGTCCTCTGCCACCTGCTTGGGGCACACAGTGCAGACAAGGGCTGGTCATAGGCCTTCACCATTCTGTTTCTTTCAGATGAGTTTTCTATGCAATTTTAAAGTTTATAATAATAAAGCTTAACTTGAATATTTTCCACTTAAGACAGCTCTATCAAGAAGATAATGGATTAAAAAGGGAGATTGACTTTGACATTTAAAATTAGTGCAAAAACAAGAAAGAGCCCCAAAACATTAAAATAATCTTATTTCAATTTGCCAAATTTGGTGTAAAATTATTACCTCAAGAAATTTACTATGTATCTGACTGACAAATGACTTCAACTGTCATTAGAACAAATTAACAGATTATGGTTTTTAAGAAAGACCAAGAACAATAGTATGCTGTGTTCCTCAGATCCCATTACTACCTGCTGCAGTCCCAGGTGACCAAGGTAGAAACAGGTGCATCACAGAAACATATTTTTTATATCTACCTATCAAAGACCTCTGGGGAAGATGAATTTCACACTTCATCTCTGTACACAGAGTTGAGTTGATACACATGAGATAATATATATAAATAGGTTTTGTACATTTAAAGTATTATTTAGATTTTAGTAATTATTATTATTACTATCGTAGGGATGGCTAACTCCAGTGGCTATCTGTGGATACCCTTCATCAAGTAGAAACAAAACATAGCTGGTCATCACTATGTCAAATGCTATGTTTTAAATTTAAACATTATTAAAGTCATATACTATAATCTTTCTTTTCAAATATTTTACTGTTTATTCATATACTATAATCTGAACATCACTATATTGCTGACGATAAAAGATAAGTAGAAAAAAATGACAACATCATCTTCATCAATTTGTACACAGATGGCATGTAATGATTTTATTCTGTCAACAGAAATATGGAAATATGTAGATGATCAATCAAAACCAGTCAATATTAATTCTGTATCCCCCCCAACTTCTTGGCACAATTAGAGGATCCCTTCCCCTGAGAGGTGCTCCTTATACTTAAGTTATTAAAACCTGTTGGCCTAATATTTTCTCTTGGAAACTGCAGGGAAATACCTGGAGAATTTGTTGCTCTTGAGAATTCCCCACCTGTGATAATGAGTCCCTTAAGAAATGAGCAGCATGACGTCCTCGTGGGGCGTTAAGTCAATGGAGGGTGTGGAATTCTTAGCCAATGAAGACATTTCAGAAGCAATCAACTTTTTCTGCCACCTTTTACTCACACCCTAACCTACCCCTAATGCATCACAAATACACTTAAATGTGGAACTGATGGAAATATCATAGTTATGGAAAGCTTTTTCCTGTGAAATAAAAATAACCCAACTCAAGTGTGGCCATGTTCGCGAGAGCTGCTTTGCAGCATGTGACAAGCACTGGACTGGGCCTCGTTGCCTGGAGAAACGCTCATCTTCCCCAATAGCGAGGCTGGCTCTGAACCAACCTACACTTCCAGTTCTATCTAAAAGAGCTCCTTTTTATTTTATTCTCCTAGAGCACTAAACTACTCACCATTTACCCTACACAGTGAAAAATTGAATCTTCTCTGGAAAACAATGTGCACTAAAGGGGAAGGCAAATAGCCATAGAGAGAGAATGGCCCAAACTCTAGCTCCGAAAAAATCATGCAAGCTTAAATATGGGAAT